GAGGACCTGCTCAGATAGGTGGTCAGGGAAGCCTCTTGTTGGAGATGGCATGAAGGTAAAACCCAAAGGTTGATCAAGAGCTGGCCAAGTGAAGAGTAAGGGAAGGGCATTTCAGGTGATCCCTCAAGTACAAAGACCCTGGGGTAGGAAAAAGCTGATGTATCCCAGGAGCTGTCAAATGGTGGGATAGTGGCATAAGATAAGGCTGGAGAGTTCGTATGGAGGATGGTGTGTGCTCTACGACAGAGTATTATATGGATGAAGCAAGATAAGACATGAAAGCACTTATCATCATGCCCAACATATTATTTGCTAAATAAACAATAGACTGATAGTAGCAAAACTGGAATTAGAAATCTGATGTCCTGAATCTGATGCTTGCTTCCTTTGTGACCTTGAGAAAGTCAGTTAACATCTCTGACTATTCAGTAAATGGTGTGAATGGACAAATCTCTTCAGTTCACTTTCCTGAGTCAGACACAGCTGAGTTCTGTGTCCCTGGTTATTCTCAGAACCCGTCATGGACTCTGTCCTTGACTTGCAGAACTTTGTGTTGCTGCAAAGGATTGGTGTTGAGGGTAGAATTTGAGAGCACTATGATTTTTCTTGGAGTGGATCTGAGACCCTAGAGTTTTGTTGTTGTAGTTAATAATATTTTATTGCATTTTTGGTGAAAACATACATGCAAAACAGGTTCTCATTCAACAATTTCTACACATACTGTTCAATGACATTGGTAATACTCTTCACATTGTGTCAGCAGTCTCATTATTTTCTTTCTAGTTGTTCAGTTAATTTGCTGATTTTGACATTGTACTATAGTTACGTAAGAAGTAGTCACTAGGGGACACTGCATGATGGGTACACAGGACCGCTCTGTACTATTTTTGCAACTTCCTATGAATCTATAATTATTTCAAAATAAAAAGTAAGTATAAAAGGAGATTAAGAATGGATGATCAGAAGAATGAGGACGATTGTCTCACTTAAAAAAAAAGTCATGTTTCTTTGTCCAGTTTTTAGGATATGTCAGTTTTCAGACCCAGAACCAATTGCCTGAAGCAGAGGCTGAGTACCCAGGAGTAAGAAAAGAAAAAGTGTGGATTATGTTACAATACTATGGCAAATGTATACCATAATGACTCCCCAGTTCTTCCCCCAGCTAGATCTTTGGCCACTTACACTGAGAAAAAGAAATATTCAGACATTTCTGGGACTATGGGACACAAGGTCTTTGTTGACACTGATACCCAGGGACGCAAAGCATCATCACAGCCCCCTGTTACAATGGGGGCATACGGAGACCACAAATGTATGGAGTAATGGCCCATTTCTGAATCACAGTAGATTCATTGGGTTCTGGATTCACCTGGAGGTCATTTCTCTGGTTACTAAAAGTATAATTGAAATGGATATCCTTGGTAGTAGGCAGAACTTTCACATTGGCTCCTTAGGTAAGAGCTATAATGTGGGAAAGTCCAAGTGGAAGCCTCTGAAACAACTTCTCTCCCTGGCCCCAGTCAAAATGGTACACTTATGGCCCTGACCCTATTGCTACCTTGAGAAAGTCAATGAACATTTCTGGGCCTTTGTTTCCTTGTCGGTAAAAAAAAAAAAAAGGTAAATGACATCTGGTAAATTGAGGCGTAGCTGAGATTGTGCTTTGGAAAATTAAGAAGTGCTTTGGGACTAAGACAGGGCTCCTGCCTCACAGTGTGGGAGGGGGCGATCTCTACACCAACAAACAGTTCTTACCAGGTGAATAGTGAGGCTCCAGAGGAGGGAATTGAGGGTTCATTACAGGACATACAGCTTGGGCTGGGGTTGAAGGTAAGTGGTTTACCAGGCCAATGGTTTGGAGCAGCCAAAACAGGCGATAACACGTGTGAAAGCATGGGATGTGAGTCAGACTGACAATGGGGATTTTACTCGCTCATTCTAAAGCACATGGTAGGTATCCAATATGCGGAACTAATAGTTAACATATTCTAATGGAAAATGAAGTTGAGTTGGCAGCATTTGAATGGCAAGACTGGAGAGAGAATTTTGTAGGCAGTTTACCTCTATGCTCAACACATTGAGTGTTCGGAGTCTATATCACTTCTCTAATTTTAAATTCATATTATTTATATTTATTCATCAGAATAATTAGACTTTTTTTGTTTGTTTGTTTAGGCTTTACTATGTGCTGGCACTGTGCTAGGTACTGAGGTAAGGAAACTTCACTTTCTTAGAATTTGCCTCTTCCTCTTATTCCAGGTAGGAAGTGGTAATATACAACACCCTCAGCAGAAGAGAAACTCAACAGGCTGTGCCTTCCCTCAGATGAGGAAAGCAAGAAAATATTTGTATTTAAATGGCCTCTCCCTGGAAGACACAGTCTTGGTGGAGGAGGAAAAGTAAACAAGATATGGACAATTACATCGGCATCAAACTCACCTTTATTAAGACCTAGAAAACAAGAAGTGCTGGGGTGATCTACCTTCAGAAGTAACTGCTTAAGCTGCTGAAATGGGGATCAGCTGCTCGCCATCTGCCTTTCTTTTGCCTTTAAACTGATTGAGGAAGAATCCAGGGTAAAATGTTAATTTCCTTTTTAAAATAAGACACCCAGAACTGAACATAATCTCTTCAAGATAGTGATCTAACCAGACAAAGTTTCACTCCTCCTCTCACTCATTCATTCATCAAATCAGCAAGTACTTACTGGCCATCATCTGTAGGCATAGTCTCTTTTTGATGTTATGGGAGCATAAAGACAGAGAGGGCCTAGTTGCAACCCTCTAGTGATGATGTCAAGACATTTTTTTCTAAGAATTGAGCTCATGGTATACATACAGTTCTATATTCTGCTTCTATCCCTTTGTTAGAAGCTTTCTCATATCCTTAAAAATTCTCCATAAACATCATTTTCATTGACTCCACTATTCTTAGCCATATGATTTGACTGACAATTTCTAACAAGAGTTGTCCTGGATACTGAACCTTGAATTTATATCAATACGTGAAGTTGATAATTTGAAATATCCTGCTGCCACAATTCACTTAGAAACCCTGGCTAAACCATAGCAAACATAAATTGCTCCTTGTAAAGTAGGGGGCTACAATGTATGGACTGGAAGCTTAACTACTTCATTATCTCCTTTATCTTAATGGTTAGTAGCAAAGTCTCTGGAGCTGACTGCTTGGGTTTGAATCCTGCCTCCACCACTTACCAGCGTGGTGATCTTGTGTAAGCAGCTAACATCTTTGTGCCTTTGTTTTCACATTGATAGCATAAAAATTTTTAAAATATTCTATTTTGTAAGGTGTTGTGATGGACAGCATGTAAAGTTATTTGCCCAGTGCTTAGAACATAGTAAGTATGCAATAAATTTTAGATATCATCAAGAATTTTGAGTCCAGTTACAAAGGATAAACAGAGGACTCAGCAAGGAGGAGTCACAACATGAATTCAATCCCATGACTTTCTAAATCCTAAACTTCTTCCACTATCGCCTCTAGTGCTGTGGGTAAAAAGCAGATGATGAGCCAAGTAAGAGAAAAAGTTGGTTTTCAAAGTCCCTCTGTGGGCCTAGTGGGAGAGGGGATCTGAGAAATCTACAGAGATGAGGCAGGTTGGGAATCAGAGGAGGAATAGAGAGCTGGGGGAAGGCTGGACAGGTCACAGTGGAATGTGTGCAAGTAATTACATATCCCTCTGCCCTATCATCTGGACATACCCCACTGTCCTAAAATCTGGACAAAGGCCCAGGATTTATAGGAGAAAGAAAAGAACTCTGGCCCCATGGGTTATGTAATGAGTCACCTGACAGAGGAGGCCAAGGATGAGGGTGTTAGGTGTAAAGTGTACATGGATGTGGGGCAGGTCAGGAGGAAAAAGGGGCCCCTTGGAGAATGGCCTTTCTTGAATTCTTCTTGAAATATTTTAATGTCTGAATTCTAGGCCTTGGATTTGACCATGGGGGAGATAATCATTAATAAGAGAGGGAGGAAGAATTGAAAATTAACATGTCCCCATTGCTTGCTCTTTCACATGTGATCATCACAGCTCTGCCAGTGCCAGTCCCTCTTCTAACACTCTTCACTGGTGAACTCCTGATTATCCTTCAAGCCCCATTCTTTTGTTTGATTTTCTCCTTCCCCCAGTGGCCCCAGCCTGCTTAACATTCCTCCAGTATAGCTGTTACCATATTTTAGTGTACTAATTTATTTTTCTGCCTTTACCCACTAGACCATGAGTTCAAGAAATATTTGTGGAGTGAATGAACGAGTAATCCTATGTAGGATTTCTCACCCTACAAACGAAGATAGCAAGTCTCAGAGATTTTAGGTTACTGGTTTTATAAGCAGTGAGTCTGGACGTGGGGCTTGGGCCTCCTGAGTCCAAGTCCAGTGTTCTGTCCATCCAGCACAATCATGCCAAGTCAGAAATGACTAATGGAATGGGATAGGCTGGGGAACATTTCAGAGGCAGCTGGTGTGGTAAGGTTTGGAGTTGAACAGAGATGGTTCTAATCCCTACTCAGATTCTCATAGCTGTTTCACTCTGGCAATATCACTTGATCCCTCCGACTGTCAGTTTCTCACCTTTTAAATTGGGTTAAGAGTAAAGCAACAGGTCTATCAAACCTTTGATAAACTAGACTGTGAATCACTGAAGTCAAGGATCATGACTCTTCTGCTTGCAGCCTTGTCCCAGCATCTAGTACACTGACTGGCACATAGTAGGTGCTCATTAAGTATTTGTTGAGGAAACTGAAGGCGGAAAAGTGGGTTTGTACATGTGTATCACAGTGAGCTGATAAAACTTTTTTCCCACTTTGCCCCAAGGAGGATCCTCCACTGTTAGTCAGTACTAATGGCTGAGCTATAAGCGCTGTCCTCACCATTCGCCTTCCCAGAGGTGGATGGGACAATCCTCCCTGAACTCTAGCACAGGCAGTCAAAGGCAGTCAGTTGTGATCAGGGGATGTCAGTGATCCAGAAATAGCTGCACAATGAGTGTCTTTTCACCGAGCCCCACCAGACCCCTGGGCAGTATCTCTGGGCTCCTCCAAGTAGCCTCCTTGCTCGGCCTGGTTCTGCTGCTGCTCAAAGCAGCCCAGCTCTACCTGTGCAGGCTATGGCTACTCAAAGCCCTCCAGGAATTCCCATTGCCTCCGTCCCACTGGATCTTTGGGCACAAGCGAGAGGTAGGAAGAAGGGGGTGAAGACAGAGGGATAGGAGTGAGGGCCTGGGTTGGAAGCATGGTCAACCAGTCATTAGGCTAAGCCCTGTTATATGAACCAGCACCTGTCTCCTCAGGTAAACCCAGCTCACCTCTCAGGTGTCATCAGTTCCTCACTCCCAGCAACAGGGAGCTCACTGCCTCACAAGAAGCCTTTCCTAGACTTGCTCAGCTATGTCAGATATTCCTTCCTGTGTAGATCTGAGGTCAGTCCAAATCACTCTGCAGAGCTGGAGGACGAAGGTCCTTTTTTCTGAGTCTCCTCCTCTCCAGGTTTGGCATCACCATTGACCTCAGCTGTTCTCAGTTACTCTATCCTATGTCTTAGTTACCTACTGCTGCCATAACAAAAAATACTACAAGTGAGAGGCTTTAAAGAACAGGAATTTATTGTATCACAGTTTTGAATTCAGGGCACTGGCAGGCCTAAGGGCTCTTTCTCTTTCCCTGTCTCTCTCTGGGCTCTAGGGGAAGATTCTTGTCTGTTTCAGTTCCTCTAGCTCTGGGTTGTTCTCAGCATTCCTTGGCTGCTTGTAGATTGTCCTAGTTATCTAGTGCTGCTATAACAGAAAGAACACAAGTGGATGGATTTAACAAACAAGTTCATTCTTTCACACTTTAGGAGGCTAGAAGTGTGAATACAGGGCACTAGCTTTAGGAGAAGACTTTCTCTTTCAGCTCTGGGGGAAGGTCCTTGTCATCAATCTTCCCCTGGTCTAAGAGCTTCTCAGCACAGGGACCCCGGGTCCGAAAGATGCGCTCTGCTCCTGGCCCTGCTTTCTTGGTGGTGGGAAGTCTCTCTCCTCTCTACTTGATTCTCTCCTTTATATCTCAAAACAGATTGACTCAAGAGAGGTGGGGCCAAGATGGCAGAGTAGTCAGATGCTTCCAGTGGACCCTCTTACAACACAGACTCCAAAAAACAAGTGATTCGATTATATATGGAAATCTGGGAGCCCTGACCATCAAAGGTACAGTTCAGGAACCAGACTGAGTGGCAGCGGGAGGGAGAGATGGTTCGGAAGTAGTGAGGAGTTGCCAGACCCGACCTGGAGAGAGCCTGAGCCCTTCATGCCTGATCAGCTCAGGGGTGAGCTGTGAGGCAGTCAAGCAGCCATACTCAGGAGGCACGTTTTCCGCACCGGGAGAGACCCAGCACCAGAGGGTCTACACAGCCACCCAGAACCAGTGAGAAGTAGCCCTCCACGAAAGATAAGTACTTGCCTACAGCTTAGCGCATGGATCAAAACCACTCCCCTTAGGGAAAAACCTCTCTCCCATTTACCTCCCCTCTCCCTGCTCTGCACTGGGTCCCAGACTGGCTTCAGCAACTGCTGAGTCCCCTGGGCCGTAAGTAGGATCCGTCATACCCCTGGAGCCATTCTCCCAGCCTTGGAGAGTGAACAAATTAACAAACAGAGGAAAATATAAACTGACGGCTCCCCTAAGCCAGGAACCCAGGGTAGGCACAGCTCCTTTGCATAGGCACAGGCATAAGGGATCCATGGACTTTGAGTGCCTTTTCCCCTGCATAGACTTGTGTGGGCCCATCTCAACAGCGTAGGCCCTCATTACCACAGTGCAACAGGGTATATACCAGAACTCTACAACTGTTTCAGCTGTGAAGTGGCAGGTTTGTGACATTTGACACTGCTCTGCTCATTAAGCAGGGTCTTCATCTACCCACATCAGGGGCCTGAGGACTGGTGGCTCCACCTATTCCACCTAGCCACCTGCGAGAGAGGCCCATGAATAAGAAGTGCCCCCCAATCCTTACAGCCAACAGAATTAGGTGCTCATAGTCCAGCTGCAAAACCCAACCACCTACGTGCTCTAGGGAACAGGGACATGCCTTCCTCCTGGACATTCAGGGGTGGACATCAGCCCACTGCCTTGCTCAGAGTGTGTCCCCCTGCTGCAGCCAAATGCCTGTGCCTACACCAATCACCCATGCCTGTCTAGGACTGTAAGTGAGAGCCTACACCACACACTTGGTGGCTATCTACTTGGGCACCTGAGCTGAATCCATACAGGAGGAGTGGGCAGATTCCTGAGCTCACATACCTAGTAACAGATCTAACCACCTGGTGACAGGACATTAGAGCTTCAAAAGTGCCAATAATCAAACTAGCATACGAGCAGCCTATTTGGATATATCAAAACAAAACAGGAAGCTAGGACACAGTAAGCAAACATAAAATAAATAAATATAATAACTTATGGATGGATTGGAGACAGCAGTCAATATCAAATCACATAAAGAGGCAATCCACGATGGCTTCGGCAAGCTGCAAAAATAAAGAATCTAGAAATTTTCCAGAGGAGGAAAATTTCTTGGAATTACTGGAGGCAGAATACAAAAGATTAATATACAGAACTCTTCAAAAAATTAGGAAGGAAATTAAGCAAAGTGCAGAACACACAACAGAGGAAATTAAAAAGATAGAAGGCCATAATGACAAATTTAACAGGTGGCAAGAATCCATAGAGAGACAGCAATCAGAAATCCAGAAGATTAACAATATGAAACAACTGAGTAGAAAGACATAGGAGCAGAATTGAGGTAATGGAAGTCAGAATTAGTGAGACTGAAGATAAAGCACTTGACACCAACTTATTTGAGGAAAAGTCAGATAAAAGAATTTGAAAAAATGAAGAAACCCTAAGAATTATGTGGGACTCTATCAACGGAAATAACTTACAAGTGATTGGAGTACCAGAACGGGGGGGGGGGGGACAACAGAAAATGCAGAGAAAATTGTTGAATATTTGTTGGCAGAAAACTTCCCTGATATCATGAAAGATGAGAAGATATCTATTCAAGATGCTCATAGAAGCCCACCTAAGGTAGATCCCAAAGAAAGTCACCAAGACATATTATAATCAAAATTGCCAAAACCAAGGATAAAGAGAGAATTTTCAGAGCAGCTAGGGATAAACAAAAAGTCATCTACAAAGGAGAGTCAATAAGAATAAGCTTGGGGACCTCTGGGCAACATGACTCTATAGTCAGAAGCACCACGCACTCCTTCCACAGCAAAGATCAGAAAAACTAAGTCAAACAGATTCACCCTTCAATCCTGAAACACTAAACATCAAATGAAGAGATAAAGAACTCAGCCAAGCTCTGAATGGAATAAGAAACTGACCAACAACAGAGAGGGAGGAGAGATACATGCAGAGGTCCCGTATCTGCTACTGCAGCATGGATCCGCCATCTTGGACTCCTATTGGAGATCAGCAAACGGGGGTACGAAAAAGCAGCTTCATGGAGCTTCCAGCAGGAGACAGAACAACCGGTAACCAGTGATATAGGCTTCCCCCCATCCCCACACACACTTTTTCATCCTCACTTAGCCTCCTCTGCTTCCTGCAGACACAGTCTCTTGGCCGGGAAGCACCAGCTTCACCCTGGTGTCGCTTGGATTCCACCTGTCTGCGCTGGCCGGCTCCCTGAATGCCTTTTGTTGGCTGCTGGTATTGGTTTTTTCTGCTTCTTTAGATATCTTCCTTACCTCTCACCACCTCCCCCTCCTTTCTCTCAAATACCTGACTCCGTGTGCCATCCTTGCTTCTTCCTGAAAGGCTGAGAAACACTGCTCGACTGTGAAACTGCTTCCCGGCCTGTGCCACCACGCTGGTGGGACCCGTGGGGCTTTTTTGTTTGTTTGTTTGCTCTGATTTGTTCTGTTTTGATTTGTTTGTTTGTTTTCTTTTTCTTTTTTTGGCTTGGGAGCCCCTTCTAGTCAGGCAGTACTGCGTGGCATGGAAGCTACTCCCTTACTCTGCACAGACGCTCAGGGAAATCCCTGGGGGCATTTCTTTTTTCTTTTTTTTTTTTTTTTTTTTGCTTTTGAGGGTTTTTTTTGTTTGTTTGTTTCTTTGTTTTGTTTTCTGCTTGCTCTTATTCCCTTTTTCTCCTTCTTCATTTCCAGTTTCTCGATTTATTGATTTTTTTTCTTTTAGTCTTTTTTTTTCATTTTTGTTTTTCCCCATTTCTTAGTCTCTCATTGCTCCACTCCAATAGCAAGCTCCCTTACCACTCTTTTTTGTTTGCATATATGTTTTGGGCTCCTGTTTCTCTGTCCTCTGTCTCATCTTTCCCATACCAATCTTAGCTCCACACATCACAATCTACCCCCTCCTTCCTGCCTACCTGCACCATGCACTGAACATCACACTCCCAAGCAGCACAGGCATGGCCTACTGGAACTTGTCCTGTACTGATTCCCAGTCCTCACTGTCAGCCCTGGTACATGCCACAAACAACCCATCTCAGCAACTCCCCTTCAGCTGGACCTGCCCTGCTGTACCACATCTGAGTGACGGACCCTGCCCATTGCAGAAGGAGGTGAAAAGTATCGTGCCCACAGACAAGCAAACAAAGAACACACAGCTCGCCTGCTCAGACATAAGCAAATAAAACAAAAAAGCAGGATGAAACAAACAAATCTACCATCAATAAATGAGGAAAATAACCACTGAATTCCCCAAAGACAGCAGACAATATCAAAACATTTACAAAAACAGGACAGGATGGTTCCAGTAGGTGTACTAAATAAAACACCAGATGACCTTCCAGTAGCCACTAGACTTAACTGATAGGGAATTCAAATATCTAATATTCAGAATTATCCAAGAGTTGAAGCAGAAAAGCAGACAAAAATGAGGAAGAAATAGACAAATTCATGGAAAATACAGACAAAAAATGGAGGAATTAAAAAAAATAATATAGGAACAAGATGCCAAACTAAATTCACAACTAGAAATCATACAAAAACAACAATTAGAAGTGCAAAAGATAAACAACAAGATTTTATAAATGGACAGTGTCATAGAAGGGCTGAGGGGCAAGTTTGAAATCATGGAAGACAGGATCAGCGAGATTGAAGACAAACACTCGGATACAACTCTGTTTGAAGAAAAATCAGAAAAAAGAACAAAGAAAAATGAAGAAACCCTGA